GACTGTCGTCGCTGCCAGCTTGCGCTGTAGCCGCAGATTCAAGTGTGTCGTCATTCAGTTGGTCATCTGCGACCGGGACACAGACCCACCGATAGCGCTGCTCTGGATCGGCCGCTGTGTGCGGATACCGCGACAGCGCGTCGGCGTCATTGTGCAGAGCGCCACGGCGGTGCACGATATCGAACTCCATCTCTGACAGCTGCAGCACCCAGCGAGCCAGCTGTCCCGTGGGGTCCTTCATGTTGAACAGCCATTGTAAGGCGGAATGGTCAGTTCGCAAAAGGAACCGACGGCCGAGAAGGTATTGGCGGAAGTGGCTGGTTGCCCAGACTACGGCCAGTAGCTCGCGTTTAGTGACGCTATATTGCCGCTCAGCTTTCGTCAGAGCACGGCTGGCATAGGCAATCACTCTGTCACCCTGCATCAGGCATCCTCCGAGGGCAGACCCGCTGGCATCCACATCGAGGGTGAATGGGGGCGACTCGTCACTGAACACCGGCAGTGCGAGGACTGGAGGAGACACCAGCGCTGCTTTCAGCCGATCAAACGCCGCCTGCTCCTCTGGTCCCCAGCTAAAGCGGCGGTGTTTCTCTGTCAGTTTCGTCAGTGGCTTAGCCAGTGCTGCGTATCCACAGATGTGACGACGCAAGTAGCCGCACAAGCCCAGAAACACTCTGACCTGTTTAGGATTGGTCGGAGCGGGCCACTGCTGAATGTCCCTGATCTTCTCAGGATCACATTGCACTCCAGCCGCACTGACCCTGAAACCCAGAAAACTGACCTCTTTCTGGCACAGCTGTAGCTTCTTCAGCGACACCGTCAGGCCGGACCTCTGCAGTGCTGCGAGGACCGCTTCCAAATTGGTGTGCATCTCATCCAAGGATTTTGCCACAATCATGACGTCATCAAAATACTGAATGGCCGTCTCCGGAGGTACATCAGACAGCACTAGCCTGAGCGCCCGATTGAAGGAATGTGGAATGCCCTGAATTCCGTACGGAGCTGTGGTATACCGAAAAAGGCCAAACTCCGTCGCGATAGTGGTTTTAGCTCTGTCCTGATCAGCCACTGGAAGCTGGTGATAGGCACTTTTCAAATCCAGTGATGTAAAGTATACTGCGCCGGCGAGTCTCTGTAGACACGTGTCCATACGGGGTATAACCTGGACAGAGGGGGTTGTAATGCTGTTCAATCGTCGGAAGTCTCCACAAATTCGGATTTGACCCCCATTCGCGCGTTTAACCAGAACCAGCGGAGAAGCCCACTCGGACTCAGATACTGGCTCCAGCACCCCTTTAGCCACCAAATCGTCGAGCTGTGATTTGACCTCCCCAGCTAGATGACCTGGTACAGGTCGAGGACCCTGAAAAACGGGTGGGTGGTCTCCGGTCGGAATTTTGTGTTCGGCGACATGGGTGCGTCCCAGTCCGGTGAAGACCTCCCGGTACTTTGTGAGCAGGGCCGAGAACTCTGACTTTGATGGCTCCTCCAGGTGTGCCACAGCTTGGTCCGGACGAAACTCTGATTCGGCGACTGCCCCATCACAGAACTCGCTCTCGTCCAGTGACTCAAAATCTGCGATTTTTGTTCCCTTGTACAGCGTGACGGGTTTGTCTGACAGATTGCTGAGCCTGACGGGTACAGTATTCTGTTTCACGGTGACGGCTAAACGTGCCACACACAGATCCGTTGTGTCCGCGAATTCTGCGGCACGCTCCACCATACCGGTCAGCCCCCGCTCACTGTCACACTCACCTTTACAGGACAGTGTGTGAGTAGGCTCGGTAACTCGGTCGCATTTTTGTACAGATACGTTAGCGGACAAAATCATCTCGCTGCTGGCCGGCACCACAATCGTGCGACCAATTATCACAGCCCCTGTTCGCCGCCACTGGAGATGTCCCTGGTCCCCGGATCGTGGTCGAGCCACCATAGGTACCGTCTGCCCCTGTACGGTCATTGTCCCGTTATAAACGTCTATAACGGCCCGAGAAGCTGTCAGGATATCTGCACCGAGCAGACAGGGCTCGCACAGGGTCGTGGCCACATACACACATGTGCGTTGTGTAAACAATCCCAGCTGAATGTCCACATATGCACGGCCGATTATCCCGGGGCAGAGTTCATTATTAGCCAGCTTCACTGGTCGTTCCGGGGGCAAAAGATGAGCGTCATCGGCCAACAGCTCTCGTCGAATTACGGTATTATCGGCACCGGTATCGCACAAGGAGAGACAATCTCGACCATTGACGGATATGTGAATGTACCGACCTGGTAACGGTGTTTTCGCCTCCGGAGCTGCTGTCGTGGTGTGCCTTACTGCTGCTGTTGCGGCGGCGGCGGCGGCTGCGGCTGCTGAGTCGGCAGCGGCTCTGGCCGCGGCGGCGGTGCGAGTTGCGGCGGAGGCGGCATCCACTGCGGCGGTGACGGCTGCAGCAGCCGCTGCTGCTGCTGAAGCTGCTGCTGCATCGACATTGGCGTCCTGTCGCCGACATCGGGCCATGACAGAGGGGCCACGGTCGCTGATCTGGTTGCAGTCTGCCTCGGGCCCCTCGGGACAGACTGACGGCCGTTTCCCAAGCGCCCACGAAGACGGCCGCGGACACGGGGTTGCAGGGCCGGTCCTCGGCAAACCGTGCTGAGATGGCCTCGCTTCTCACACCGGCCGCAAATATCGCTGCGGAATGAGCAGACGTTGCGTGTGTGACCCGTCAGACCACAGACGTAGCAGGTGACAGACGGGCTTGCGGTTTCCTGTCGTGCAGATGTGTCGGCGGTGCTGCTCTGGGCTCGATGCACCCCGAGCGGCTCTGGCCTCACCGACAGGTCGGCTCGTTCGAAGGCTCGGATGCGTTCCACAGCTTTCTCCAGATTGTCAGCACCGTCCTTGATGAGGTCACGCTGGTACACAGCGGGGAGAAGCCGCTGGAGGTGAATCCAGGTCATCTGGTCCTTGTGCACCTTGTCGGTGATGGTGGGGTAAGCCAGCGGGATCAGCTCCCCGAGGGCTAACAGAGTACGTCCCACATTACCATTGTAGCACACAGCCTCGAGCTGGCGTGTCGCTACCAGAGGGTCCGGTGTCCCTCCTAACAGTTTCACGACGTCATCGGAAACGGATTCGAGTGTGACGGGCGCGGAGATGGCGGCGGCTTGGCGCACACAATCCTTCACCTCACCAGATACGAAGAAGCGTAAATTCGTTACAAGTTTCTCGGCATTCCATTTCTTCAGGCGTCCATATACGCAGTAGTCTTCCAGCCAGTTTTTCCACTGCTGGACAGTCCCAAAGCTGAACGGTGGAATCGTCGGAAGCTCAGACATCTTGAGAGAGTATCCCACCGCTGCCACCACTGAAGTGGGTTCGTCTCGAGTCGGTATTTATGCTTAATCGTTCGTTAAATTATCATAGTCATGTAAAATGCTTTTCACACGATCGTTATATATTCCAGAATGTCAAACTCCATTTTCCACGAGATCACCAGCCGCATTCATTTTCTTTAACATCACGCGGCCTATTTTCTCACATGCATCTTACTACGGGGATGCAAGTCAATATCGAACCCATTACAAAGAGGTCACAGGTCAAAGGTCATTTGGGTCAGGGTCATGAAATTTTCAGGGTAGGTGTAAAATTGATCAATGCGAGGGTACTGAAAGTTTCGTCGCGATCGGCCGCTTTTTACGCGAGTTATTCGCGAAAAACCATGGGGGGGTCCATCCGACCCCCCTACACATGCGAGGGTTAAGACATTTTCGACCGTTTTGCGTCCTCCGTTAAGTTAAAGCACAAGTGACCGTGAGTTATGTACCCCGAAATAATACTCTTAGACAGCTGGTAATCCATCCTGAAAAGCCTGCTTACCAACTTTCTAACGCTAGGACCTTTTTGACGGCCACTTTGGCGCCACACAGTTTTGGCCACATGGCTCACTCCTGAGAGCTGACAAAAAAAGAGGAACTTGCAGCGCTTGACTCCCGACAAATAATCGGCGTAACTTGCTGACTGTGCGTCCATTTAGCGACAGACATTAGCTACAGACTGGATGGCCTCAATCACCCTCAACTGTAGCGAATGGCCCACGTGCGGGCTAAACACCGAGACGTACCCGTATCGGAGACCTTGCGGCGTAAGCCGTCTCCTCAGGAAGTGAACTCTCTAGCAAAAAATATTTTGTCTAGACGAATTAGTTACCGTGGAGCATATTCACAGTTGCCATGGCAACCACAAAAGCACAGTTACAAAATAAATTAGCGTGGCTTTAAATAAGAGAGCCTCTAAAAGAAAAAATATAGGCGAGAAGGAACTTATGGGACACCCTGTACAAGTTGTGAGAACTCGAGGATACTTCTAAGCTTTGTAAGTATCATCTCCCTGTAGCAGCTCCTCTGGCACTAAGGGTGTTGCGAAGTTGCAACATTATAGGACCGATAAGAGGTTTACATATGACGTCATAGTTCAGTGACCTGACTTGAAAATGCGGTTGCCCGGCTTGAATCAAAGGTTAGCACAAGCCAAGTTTCAGCTCTCCATCGCAACCGTGCTCTGAGCTATCGCGAAAAGAAACTTAGGGGGGGGGGGGGCTATCGCAAATGTTTTCAGGAAGGACACACACTGTCACTCTCCCTTCGAGCCCGAGAGGGTTAAACCGCGCCATGTCAGTGTGTGACCAATGCCAGCGTGGATGTGTGACCCATGTGACCGGTGTCAGCATGTGACCACTGACCACTGACCGGTGTCAATGTGTGACCGGTGTCAGTATATGACCGGTGTCAGTGTGTGACCGGTGTCAGTATATGACCGGTGTCAGTGTGTGACCGGTGTCAGTATGTGACCACTGACCGGTGTCAGTGTGTGACCGGTGTCAGTATGTGACCACTGACCGGTGTCAGTGTGTGACCGGTGTCAGTGTGTGACCGGCGTCAGTGTGTGGATGTGACCGCCTCGGTGAAGACAAAGCAGTCAGCCGAGCGACCCCAGGGCCGTCGCGGGTTCCTACCTGTGCTAGTTGGTCGCCGAGTTCTGTCGTCCGGTTCCCGGTTCCTAGTAGGGCCGCGAAGCGTCCTTGGGTCGCTTCAGCTGCACCTTGAGCCGCTTCAGGCCCACCTGAAAGCCGTTCATGGCTTGTATGGCCGCCTGTGCCGACGCCGGGTTATCGAAACTCACGAACCCTGCGGGAGACGGCGACACATATCACCGCGTGTCAGCGCACACCCCGCCAGACGTGTCAGCGCACACAGTGGCGGTATGAGGCTGGTGGGGCGGAAAATACCCCAGTCATGCGCTGGTTAACAAGTTAAACGTACGAGGGACTGAGGCCCATATACGGCAGTTCTGGGTGTTCACCTGTCCAGTAATGTGAAAGTGGGCCTCATCGCTAAACCATACCCCATCCATGAAGCCAGGATTAGCGGCAGTCTGGTCCTTGAGCCACTTTACGAAGGCCACTCTCTGATGTTTGTCGTTCTCAGACAGCTTGTGATGCACTGTCACTTTATATGGGAACAGTTCGAGGTCCTTTCTCATTATTCTCCGCACCGTTGAGTGGCTTGTGCCAACTTCTTGGGCGATTTTCCTGATGGACTTCTTGGGGTCCCCATTGACTATGGACTTCACCTTGGCGATGTTTTCGGGGGTCCTTTGTGTCGTTAGTCGTCCACTTTTCCCTTTGTAGCAATTGAGGATAGACCCATCTCTTAGAAATTTTTCTTGCAAAGCAGGATTGTTTTCGGGCACGGTGTGAATCGGGTTTTGAAGTGAGCCCTAAACTCTCGCTGTGTTAAAATGATAGAACGTGACGACCAGTAAAACTGAACCAGTTTTGTTTTTAGTTAAGCAAATTTCAAGGTCATATATTTAAGTAGGTGCAATTCTAAACAAATGCTTAAGAAATTACCTAAACAGTAAGGTTTATTTCATTCAAATCAAACAAGTACAACCAAAGTTATGGTCGTTCAAAAATAGGTATAAAGATGCAACATTTTGTAAAAATTTGATGCCCTATATTTAGAAGACCTGTGGTCAGAATGTGCAAAAAAAAAAACATCAATGTAATGTCCGGGGCCACACAGGAACTCGCTCACAAATTTATAATGAAATCGCTGATGGTAAGGTGCAAAACAGCCGATTTTTGTTCGATTTGACGTGGAATGCCCCAGTACAAAACTAGGTGCATCATCGAAAAGACGAGACATTTTTCTTCAAATTATCTAAGAGCAGTTTTTTCACTAAACCCATTAGTTTTACCAAAAATGCGTTAAAAAAACATGCCTCCCTTCCGCCGGCCGCTGCGCCGCCGCGGTAGTGTAGTGGTTAGTATGCCTGCACTGTGATTCAAAGATCGTGCGTTCGAATCTAGGCGCGGGTCGGACTTAAATCGAAATCTCAAGCAGAATATGTTTTTTTTCTTAAGAAATCACTTATATTACAGCTAATCGTTCATTAAACTATCGATGACAATTGACTAAAGCCCAAAATATTGAGCGCATTCTTATAAAACAAATTCAAATATGGCGGCCGTTGCGCTAGGCTCCGCCCCCGATTCCGCCCCTTCGTGTGACGTCATCTGTGATATTGGACACACAGGGAGATAGGGGACGACCTGGGCCTGTTCCTGGCCTGGAGGTTACGTGATGATGGACTGCTATTCGTGGACTGCTAAACGTGGACTGCTATTCCGAAATCATCTGGCTGTTTGCAGGGTCCCAACAACCATTTGGCGAAAACAAGACATCCAGGACTGGTTGAACGCGCGTGATGTAGAGTACGATGATGACCTGCGCAAACCGAAGCTCGTCCAGCTGGTGGGGTCGTTGAACATTCCAAAGAAGTACGTTGTCGACCGACGAGCTTGCCACGCAACATGGCCACCGGATTATTCCGCCTTCCTCCCTATCACTGCGAATTGAATCCAATCGAGCTCACTTCACAGCTAAAGAAGATGATGCGTCAACGAAACCAGGGCGGAAGGCTGGAGGCACTGGAGAGACCGCTAGCCCAATGCACAGAGGAGATAACTCCGCAACTCTGGGAGAAATGCTGCCAACATGTCACTCGGCTGGAAAACGACTACCGGAAAAGACGGTCTTCTCGAAGATTTGGATCCAGTGGTTGTGAGCATCGCCACTCGTCAGTGACAGTGAGCAGCGACGATGCCGACGACGAAGCAATGGTTGGAAGCTGACAGATCCACTCTGTCCACTGGCTGGTAGTCAGTCCTTTCCCCTATCGGCGTTGTTCCCCGACCTTCTTTGAATGGTCATGTTTGATGTCTAGCCAAGTTTTATCGTGGACATCATGCTGGTCAGTGTGATCTGTCTGAATAGGTGATTGTATGCGTGTTTGCCGTTCTGTCATTTGTTCGTTAAGTTGGCTGTTGTCTCTGTTGTTCAGTCGATTAGTCCGTTGTCCATTCAAATCTGTTTGGCCTTAATCAGTGAATCCCTTGGGTGAACTACACCTTTTTGCGTTAGCTTTTGACCAGTGGGCAAAACATTTGTACACATTCGCCATATAGGTGGCGCTACAAATGATCGGTTGGTCACAAAGAATCACCATTGTGCAAAGCTATGCGGCGATCTTCCTCTATAACTCGACATTGAACGAATCGTCAATGGTCGAAACTATTCGTCATATGCCGAGCTGGCTCCCTCTATGCCGAAGTCTGGCGACCTGATAAACTGTTTTGCAGATCGCTCATTTCAGTGTTCAATCTGTTTTGCTGAATGGCAGAAATGAAACGGACCACGCCGGAATAGTTGTGCTCAATGCCGATTGTCGAAATGGCTCCTCAAACAGTTATGGCGAATGGTTGAATTCAAATGCAAAAAGGTGTATTAGGTCTGCGGCCGGTGGTGCCAGATACAGGTGCCTGGTTCGTCTAGTTTTCTTGGTCGGATGCGTTTCTACACCTTTCTACAGCCAAATATAGAAATAGTGCACACAGTTCAGTAATAGTGCAACCATTTCGACAGTTCGGCATAGTGCACCGCTACTTCGGCCGAGTGCATGAAATTCAGTAATAGTGCACACGGCTCCGAAACAGTGCAAGCAATTTAAAAGATAATGCGTTCATTTTCAGTAGTTGCGATTTCAGTTTCGCCAGAGTGCATTGCCTCGGCATATGCATTGGTATTCGGCGTACCGCAAAGCAATTTAGTTAATCTTCAAGTGAATTCGGTGCCCCATCTAGAAAATATTTTTGACAACGCTCTTGCTGTTCATCAAGTGTACCATGATGCCGTTCAAACAAGCTGCTAACGAAATGTAATTTTGACTTATTCGCCTATCATTTTGTAATTATCAAGGCTTTCCCAAACTGCTTTCGTGTGCAGCGTGTCCGTACCGGGTGTTGCGTATTTGTGAACTCTCTGATCACTTCCGCCATCACTCTAATATCCCAGGAACTGCATTTGATCCTTATCAATGCACACCGGCACTGATTCTCAAACTCGTTGATCATCGAATGAAACCAGCCAGTACCATCAGCAGATTGTAAAGACAGTTTTTTTTAAAAGATATAATCATCTGTATTTCTTTATTACAGAAACACGCGTTTAGGTTGTCATACGAAAAGAAACAAAGCGCACGAGATAACACAGCATCGCACAATACACTCATGCAGACATAATCGGTCCGATAACGAAAAACGATAACAGCTGAGACACAGCTTTTGGTTCAGATCAGCTGCTTCACGCGGTGATATTGGCACCGGCTGCACACAAGGGCAGGAACGTGTTGGAGAGGGCGTACTCGGCCTTCACTTTCTCGCCAGTGACCGACAGCACGCCGAGGCCGATGCCGTCCAGGAGGATCCGACGGCGCCATTCGGTCAGCGTCAGCCCGGCGCGGACGGCAGCCAATCGATCGTCGAGGCGCTGCTGATTCGCCGCCAGGTGCTGCTTCGTCGTCGACTTCATGATGCTGAAGACGTTTTCGATCGGATTCAAAAACGGTGAGTAGGCCGGCAGCGCTCTCAACTGATGCCCGTCAGGCAGGTCCACCCTGGCTTCAACACCTTGATGAGACGGGGCGTTGTCGAAGAGGATGGTCACCTCTTCATCCTCCCCGACGATGGCGCCGAGGCTCTGAATGAAGTCCGCGAAATGGGCCTGCTTCACACCGCCGTCGAAGATCTCGTAGAAGATGATGCCATCTGGGCACCGATTGCTAATGGCAGTAATGAAGGACACGTTCTTGCCCCGTGACCCGCACACAGTGCGGACGGTCCGTTCTCCCGCCAGTGCTCGGCCCCTGGTCCGCATAAGATGGATGTTGAAGCCGCTCTCGTCGACGTAAATTCTGTGACGCGCGAGCCCAGTAGTCATCATCCAGGTTGAGAAGTCTCGACGAGCAGCCTTGATGCGGTCCGAGTTGCGCTCTGCAGGCTGGGGGATCACTTTCTTGACGGTAATGCAAGCGCCGTGAAGCGCTCGGGAGACGGTTGTCGTTGATACTGCTGGCTTGTCTGGCCAGATCTCTTGCAGCTGTTCAGCTAAACGTTTTAGAGTCAGCTGCGGATTGTCCTCCAGCAGCATCACGAGAAGGTCCTTCGATTCGTCGTCCAACTTCGCGTTGGTTCTCCCGCCTCGTGGCCTGGGGGTCACCCGATTCGTGCGTAGGTAGTGCGCGACGATTGACCACGCTGTCCCCCGCTTGATGTGCAGTCTCGCAGCTACCTCTTGGTAGTCCTCCCGGGCGACATGCGCGTTGATAATCGCCCACCGCTCTTCCTCTGGGCCTCCTGTAGCGGCCACGAACGTTGCGCCGCGGCATCGCGCTGCCCTCCGTCCGCTGTCCGCCTGGCACTGGCGGCTGTGGGGCGGCACGGTCGCTGACCTGTGCGGTCACGTGACAATGTGGCTCCCGATTGGCTGACGGAGTTTCCTGACCGGACCCTGTTTCACGGGCGCTGCCAGCACGCCACTACACCTTTTTACGCCCAATTTAGGTGGCAGTGCACACATTTCAGCAAGTGCAGGCGATTTCGACAGTACGGCATAGTACATTCATATATTGAATCGCGGCACGATATTCGTCATAATGCAGCCATTTCGTCGTAGTGCAGGTTAAAGTGACCCAGGTTCATATATATTAGACATAGCGCACATTATTCGTTTGATCGTTTCAATTTCGGGGTGCCGCATGTAATTTAGGCACTGTTCAGTAGGAC